TCTCAATCCAATTGAGCATTTGCAGGACGAAGTTGAAAGAGCCATCAGGCAGCTGGTTCCACAACCATCAAATCTCACAGAACTGGACAGTGCTATTCCTCAGGCCTGGTGTCAGATTCCTCGCATCACCTTTCAACATCTCGTGGAGTCAATGCCAAGAAGAATCGCCGCAGTATTGAAGGCAAAAGGTGGCCCAACGAAGTACTGATGGGGTGGTCATAATAATCTGGCCACTCAGTGTATAACTCTAACCGACAAAGTGGTGTCAAAAGCTTGACTGTGTTTTGGGGTGGTGTAACGCTCGGAATTGGATAGACAGATATACAAATACTTTGACAGGTACAGCAACTCCTTTTTGTATGCATTTTATCTGTCCATTTTGCAGTTTGTAGTTCAACTTCAAGTTTATGCCAGAAACTGAACACATAAGACAGGGGTGGACAAATCCCAGAGGCCAGGCAAGCCAATGCTCCTTAAAATTACTGCTGACACGTAACTTTTGAGGTTTCCTCTAGTTTGTGTCAGTGGAGCTGGCTCCTAAAGAAAAAACCTGCTGGCTCTTAGATTGGACAAACTGGGGACCATATTCATTATGACCATTCCCTCACATAAGAGACAAGTAACTCTAAGCCTACCCATGTGCCTGAGATGGTAGTTGTCTACGTAACCCAATTTTGACCAAATTTAGACCTCATGTCTAATTTGACCAAACAAGGCCTCATGTCTATGGACAGCGTCCAAGGGACCGGAAAGTCATGCTAAGGAGAATTACTACTGTTTAAGGAACCCCTGACTGATCTTGCTGATCCTGAGAATGCTCAGGATGGAGCCAGAGCAGTAACATTGGATTCTGTAGTGCTAAGTAGTAGTGTTTCCTACCTTTGACATTTATAGTCATTAGTCGGTAATCAGATTTGTTCTGATAATCAAGAGTAGCTGCACATAATAGTTTGCATATGTATTTCAACCGTGTACTTTGCTTTTGGCTCCATTTCTGTTTTTTTGCACCGTATCCTGTTACTACTTAAAGTGCATATTTTATAAGAAAATATCTACTGATTTAATTGGGCTGCTTGTTTGAGGAATGCCATGTCTGCTGGAAGTAGCTCATACCACAAGACTATGTTCAAACAAGCATCATTTATTGTAGATTGTGGATTCCCATTAACATGTCATAGTTGGCTCGAATGTGTGGGTATTTTTTCACCCCTACGCATTAAATTGTATTGATGGGTGGTAATGTAATTGAGCTAGATCTGAGGTGAGGAATTGCAAGCATGACTGTATTTTCCTGAAACAGGTGAGGAATGTTCCCTCAATGCACCCTACCCCTCGTTAATCTGCAGGGATCTCCCTACCTCAACCCTCATCCCATTGGCTTTTTGCTTAGCACTACTAAGTCTATCCTTTCTTTACCCCTGGGACAATTCAGCCTTGGCAAACCATTGCGTTTCAGTTCCGGCTCTATGACACATTTGTAATCAAGATTCAGAGACTCATTAAAAAGCAATGGGTGAGGACCGGCCGTATTGTCAAACAAAACCAAACCGTTCTGAGTTCTGGTAGCATCTGAGTTGCTTGGTAGCAGTAATCAAACAGCTGGTTAGCGGGGGTGCTGAGCTGAGGAACCCCTGCCTGTGTGCAGCAGGCGGCCATGTGGAGAGGTTTCCACTAGACGGCAATTGTAAAAGCAGCAAGGTGCTCATCCTGTTAAAGCGGGATAACCCATCATTGTTATGAGTGGAAAGTGTGCTCAAAGTTCATATTTTGAGAGTGCCATATTGCCTTTAGTCAAGAGCTTCTGCATTTCTGACAAGGCACTCCGAAACAAAAGATTTAACATTTTTGTACTCTTTATACTTACAATAAACAGAGTGCGTGTTCTCCCATTCTAACTGTATGAGCACCTCGCTGCTTTTTCACTTGCTGCTTTATGGACAGGTTGGTGGTACAGACATAGAGATTGAGCACCCAGATTTCAGTTTTATTGGATAACATTTTTAGTAATTTGCGGCTTCAGGTGCGCGCACTTTTACATGCATAAAAATGTGCCACACGTGCTTAACCCACGAGTAAAAACATGCAAAAACGATGCCACTTAGGTGTTAACCAGGCCTAAGAGTCGTTATGATTTTTAATCAATCTGAGCAGACTTATGGACTTGAATTGAGAAAAAGGAACAGTAAATCGCAATCAGTGTAGCATGACCAATGGGGAAGAGCATTCGTAACCTATAATTGGAAGCAACATTCTTTAAAAGCTAAACACACACATCAAATGACTTAGACTAACACCTTTTATATACAGTACATATAGAAGAAAATAAAAATGTAAAAGGCTATAAGATTCCCTGTAAGATTAAACATATGCTGCCTAGTTTATATATAGCTCCATGACTAGCAGCTTCTATGTTTTTCTTTTCTTGCAGTGTGCTGCAAAGCTATACTCTTGAAATAAAATATAAATATATAGTTGGTAGAATGGAATTGTTAACCTTCCTGTGTGTGTGTGTGTGTGTGTCTATCTATATATCTGGAATTTCGTTTCACTTTGTTACTTTGCTTTCACTTACCGGATTCATTCAGAGATGCTTCAGCTGATGCATTGATGTGTTAAATATTTACTTTGGTACAAGTGCCCATAGAGGAGGTAAGTTGTCCTTGGGGTTAGGCTTGGCCAACAATGCATATGATAGTCTAACAATCTAGTGATTGTACAGATGTCTGAACACCCCCAATATAGTCACTTCTGGAGGCGTCTCCTGTGTGGTGAGGCACACAGGAGACACCCCTAGAAGTGATAATATTGGGGGTGTTTAAACATCTGTACAATCACTAGATTGTTAAACTGTCGTCCGAGCAGGAGGGAGCGCTGCCTGCTGTCAGGATGGCCGAGCGGTGAGGGGGAGAGAAGCCGCGCCCGCAGCTGTCAGGGTGGCCGAGCGGGGAGTGATATTTACCGGTCCTCCGCGTGAGAAGGACAAACACTGGAGCGATCGTCTGATCACTCCAGTGTTTGTAAATAACTGGGGGCACATAGTACTATGGGTCCCCAGTTATGAATGAACAGGCTGTGATTTCCTCAATGGGGAGAAGCACTCAGTATAGAGGCTCCTCAGAAACTGCTGATAGTAAATATGAATGGGAAGCCTCTGTACTGAGTGCTTCCCATTCATTGAGTGCTGAGGCTGCTGAAAAAAAAATTGAGGATTTGGTGTCCTCAATTTCTTTTCTATTTTAAAAGGGAAATGTCAGGGGTCTGTTTGGACCCCTAATATTTCCCCGTAGCCCCCCAACAGTAAAAAATAAAAAACATTTTTAAAAAAATTTAAAAAATGTTTTAAAAGTGAAAACTGCCCCCCCCCACCCCCCCCACATGCACATGATTGGACGAACCTAAAGGCCTAAGGCCGGCCCTGACTGTCGTCATAGGCATTGTTGCCTTGGGTAGGTTGACTGGGGTGCTTAACATTCCTTCATGTTCAATCGCCCTTCAATGCAGTTATTGTCAATCTACGAGGTAAAGGGGGCATCAACTGTGGCCCCTTACATTGCCAAAGGGGCCAGCATAATGTTCAGTATAGGTAATGCTAGAGAGGACTTTTCGAGACTGCTGGCATACTAGAGGAAAAGATGGTCAGTGACTGAACATGTCACAGGTATAGTTGGAGACTGGTTACATGTTACTTGAGGCTACTACCGTATTTCCCCAAAAATAAGACACTGTTTTTTATATTTTTTTTTGGCTCAAAAACACACTAGGTCTTATTTTTGGGGTTGGTCTTATTTTTTTTTTTTTCTTTTTAATGTACAACAATCCAAAGTTAACGAAAATTCATATTAAATAATCCAAAATGGCAAAGTTAAGAATAGGGTGATTTGGGCAATCAGGGGTGCCATACGTTTCCAAAAGCAATTTGGTAACCATTCGCTGGCCAGAATGAGTGAAGCGCACTTTCACTATCGATTCCTCACAGGCGGAGTGCATTTGGTATCACTTCGCCAGTGACGGGAGCCAGAGCTATAGAGGAGGCTTATGCGGCTCTGCTCCCAGCGCTGTCGTCTCGCTTCCTCTAGCACTGGCTTCGCTGATACCGCTGATTCTCTCCCGCGGATCTTCAAGTTCCCCCTTATGCCAGCACCGGCCCTGCAAAGGTCACAACTAGGTCTTATTTTCGGGGTAGGTCGTATATTTTAAGAATTCCCAAAAATAGTACCAGGTCTTATTTTCAGGGAAACAGGGTATAGATCACTGCGATTACACATTTCCAAATCAGAGCTCCCGTGTCCACCACTGACTGCCGGGCTGACGCTCCCGCGTCCACCACTGACTGCCGGTGTCTGTGGGCTGCACAACAAGTACCAAAGAGCCACAGGGGACACAAGGGCTCTATGGTACCCTAAAGTGTAAAAAGTCTGATTGCAACATGACAACGTGCCCTCACTGTACTGTGTCTTCAGGGGAGCAGTGTTGTCACCCTGGACAACCAATACCTTATCCTCTCATCTATATTACTCAGAAGAGAGGGTTACTGTTCTAATCCATAGCTGCATACCCTGTTGGGTTTTGATCTACCTTTCCCTTCCAAGCCTACTACCTGACCTGGGTTTACCCCTACCAGTGCGCTGTTGTTTTTTTTACATTTTCAGTTGATAGCCGATAGCTGGTAAGGCTGATAACAATATTTGAGATCCCAGGGTGTTGGATTTCCTGCAGGATCAACAGGTAGTTTTCTGTGCGTGCAGAAAATGTACTTAGTCTGGGGGGAAAAAACAAATGCAGCTGCCACACACCGGTAAGCTTGCAATATATTATTTTCTTTGTTTTTGGGTTTAGCAATACCTTGATTTTATTGTTTGAATATAAACCATGTCAAAATATTGGGCTATAAATGATTCCCTTTTAAAGTTCTGACAATTTCAGTGCTGTGAGATCATGTAAAGGAGATTTATTTTTTAAGGTACAGAAATGTATGAATGATTGTTGCTCATGTTTTCCAGGGCCCTCCGACCGATGCTCCTGCAGTGGACACTGCTGAACAAGTGTATATCTCCTCTCTGGCTTTGCTTAAGGTAAGGAGTTTGGTATGGGGATCACTGAATCTTCAGGGTTATAACTGAGAGAAACAAGTTTCATTTTCAAGGGTGCTTTGAGTTTCTCTCAGATAGTATTGATGCCTATGAGTTGCTCATTCCTATAAGGTACACAAATAATATTAAACTGAAAATATTTATAGTATCGTAGCTATGCAATTTATTGTGGCCAGAATTGTTTTATTTGAATATTCCTCAATATTAATAAAAGTTAAATTACTATTAAAAGAGAACTATGAGGTAAGTGTTTTTCCCCCCATAGTTCTCTTAAGGGTCACGGGGGGGGACATATACTAGCATCCTCCCGTGACCCAAAGCTCCGTATATCCCAAGCTACATCTCCAATTATACTGAGACTGCCGCAGCCAGGACGGATCCCGACAATACTGTCGAGATGCACCCAGCTGCGTGATTGACAGCTGGCTCTGCCTATCTAGTGGCAGAGCCTGCTGTGCCGGCCTCCTCCCCTGTCCGTTCCTCCACTCAGCGCTGGAGGATCGGAGTGGGGGGGCATCCCTGCAGGGAGTCGTGAGTGACAGTCACTGCTCTCTGCAGGGACATGATCGAGAAGTGAGCGAGCGACGGTATGTGTTCGCTCACTCCCCGATCTATTGAGCCGACGTGTGACAGTTTCTTTGTCACAGGTCGATTGGAACTATAAGGGTGAGTGATTTTCACTCGCCTTATAGTTCTCCTTTTTAAATGCTCAAACTGTTTTACAATAATGATTCCGGGTTAAACATTTATTCATAGCCCAGCAAAGCATTTCTTAAAAGGTTTGCTCAAAACCTTACAGTCCTCATGTTTGCATACAGCTCCAACTTTCTCAGCTCAGCTTCCCTGAACTTCTGTCCAGTAAAAGATCACAAGGGACAGAGCAGACTCCAGCAGATAACCATCTACTAGCTTGAAGAAGGGAGGAAGGAGTAAGGGGAGGGGAGTGTCTTGCCTTGCTGGGCCTGTGTGTTTGTAGAGACGCATACAGCTTACTAGCACACACAGGGGTGGCTTCATGGGTACCTGCAAGGGAAAGGAGCCACCCTAGAACAGGAGACCGGAGCCAGTGATCAGGGGACCAGCTTATTCTGCAGGAAGCTAAAACGTTTAAACATCAAGGAGCAGTATCCATTGTAAGTATTTAATCAGCATTTGAAATTGCTTTAAAACATTTTGACTTTAATATCACTTTCAACAGTCTCTGCTCTGGCGCAATCTTGATAATCGTTCTCTGTAATGAAGCAGGATGACGATGTTTAAAATCAGTTACTAGTTACCTGGTTAATATTCTGACTGCCAGTTCAAACATCCCCTATTGCAGGGGTAGGCAAGAACTCTGGCCCCCTAGCTGTGGTGAAACAACTACAAATATTATCATACATCTGCTTCTGGGAGTCTTGCCTGTGGCCGTCATTCTTGCAATTGCCTCATGGTAACCACAGCTGGAGGGCCGGAGTTTGCCTACCCCTGCCCTTTTGGGACAAAGATTTGGCCTGTTTCACTGTTACATGGCTGCTAATTTAAGTAATGCCACCAACATATATGGTGCACGGAGGAGGAGAAAGTTGTTTGGTTGCATTTTTGAGGATTGCAATTTTATTTGCTGTTTTTTTTTTTCTATTGGGTCTGCTTTGAAAATCTGCTCTTCTAGTCTAGGAATTCTTTAAATCCTTACTTTTTGTTCACAATTAGTTTTTTTATCGTTGGTAACAGATGGTGTATATACTGATGCACATCAATATGAAGGTTCTCCAACAATTTGTCAGTTATAGACATGAGCACTGAAATGAATTTAAATGATCTATAGAATTCTGTTGTAGATATACGGTTATTTAGTGATGAGATTCTATTGACCTTTTCCTGGAGTACACAAGTCCTTTGTGTTAATGGTTTCCTCTTCCCCCTAGATGTTAAAGCATGGACGGGCTGGTGTCCCCATGGAAGTGATGGGACTGATGCTAGGGGAGTTTGTGGATGATTACACAGTCAGAGTTATTGATGTGTTTGCTATGCCTCAGTCTGGAACCGTAAGTCTTTTTTATTTTAACTGCATTTTCATGAGATAAAAATAATCATTGTTGTTTTTGTTTGCATAGAGAATAGAATTAAACCTGTGTGTCCCTTTACTTCCTCTATTAAGACACAATAAGTAGTGAAACAATTAGGGATGTACCACAGAGAACGGCACTTATGGCAAATTGACGAAAGTGCCATGACGGCCGAAAATTCAATGTATCCCAGCTTCTCTTCTCCCCGCTTGGCGCCGGTCTGTGTGCCTTCGGATGCAGCGCCGGTGCTCAGCGGGGAGGAGAGAAGATTTCAGGTTGCTGGCTCGGCCTCCTGTGTCAGGATGGAGAGAGGTTCGGGGAGGTGACAGCTGTAATCTGTCACAGGAGGTGGCGCTCTCCTCACACCTCCCGGCTCCGCCTCCTGTGTCAGGATGGGGAGCAGTGCTGGGCGGTGACCGCTTTGATCTGTCACAGGCGGTAAAGCTCTCCTCTCACACCTCCCGGCTCTGCCTCTTGTGTCAGGATGAAGAGCGGTGAGTGGGGGAGATCCCTGTGATCTGTCACAGGAGGCGGAGCTTTCCTCCCCCTAACGCCCGCCCCCTAGCCTATTCAGGATGGAGAGCGGAATACAAACACTTGCCGATCAGCTGAATGGTGTGTGTTTGTAAATAACTAGAAATAGTGTGCTGACTATGTACCAGTTATGAATGAATGGGAAGTGATCTATATCACTCCCTATTCATTCATGATTGTGGGCATAGTAAGTACACTATATCCACAATGTATGAATGAACTGGGGCACTCAGTATAGAGGATTCCTTTTCATGTATAACAGGGGCTGCACAAAAAGAGATTGTGGACTCTTGTGTCCTCAATTTCTTTTTCTTTTGTAAAAGGGAAATATCAGGGGTCTGTTTAGACCTCTAATATTTCCCTAGAGCCCCTGACACTAAAGAAAAAAAGAAAAGCAAAATTGTTAAAACATAATTTAACAATGTTTTTCATTTTATAACATTTTTAATAATTTTTATTCATTTTTTATTAAATATTTGTTACTTTACTTTTAGGGGCTTCGGGGAAATATTGGGGGTCTAAGCAGATCCCTGATATTTCCCTTTTAAAATAGAAAAAGAGATTGACGACACAGAGTCCTCAATCTCTTTTTCTGCAGCCTCTGTTATCAATGAACAGGAATCCTCTGAGTGTTCCTGTTCATTTATAACATGAGTGAGTATCTACAATCATGAATGAACAGGAGATGATGTTGATCACTTCCCATTCATTCATAATTGAGGATACAGTACACATACTATGTCCTTCATTATGTACAAAAACTCAGCGATCACTGATCAATGACTGCTTGTACCCGCTCTACATCCTCAAAAGTCCATATATCCCATTGCACTCCTGACCGGAGAATTCCCAATGTATCAGGGCGGGTGCAGCAGCAACAACGGATGCCTCCGTCAAAACAGAGTTTGCCTGAGGAAGAGTCTGCATTGTCCCGAAATGTTGCTAGAGGTGTTATCACTTGGGTCAATAAACTTATTGACTTGATCATTTGGAGTGCCGGTGACTTTATTATTTTTTTGTACGCTCTCATCCTGACATGCTGTCACAGGAGGCTGGGTGGGGCAGTGCAGGAGGAGAGCTCAGCCTCCTTTTGACAGCCCTGGCTGTCTCCACCCACACACCGCTCTCCAGATCTGTGACAGGAGGCTGAGCGATGTGGGAGGAGACGCCGGCCGCTCACAGCGCTCTTCACCTGTGACGGTTTCTCAGCGCAGCGCCCAGAGGGAGGAGAGAAATCAGGAATGCGCCGCTCTATCGGCCAGAAAATGGCACTTTCGGCAGTATGCCAAAAGTGCCATTTTCAGCAGATGTGTTTCGGCGGCTGATATATCGGTGCATCCCTACTGGTAATATTATTGCAGGGGGTTTTTTTTTCTTTTCTTTATTCGTTTGCTCTTGAGCATGACTTTGAATCTAGCTGCTTTTGGGAATTTTCATGAATAGATTTTTAAGCTTAAACTGCCTTTTCCACAATGCCATCGCTAATGTTTGGATTGGCCTTACTCATAACTGTGTAGGCTTTCTACAAAACTGTCATGTTGTCACAAATTGCTCCGTTTGCTAATTAACTTGATTTTAGAAGATGAATCCTGCTTCCTTTAACAGTTTTGTGTCTTGTTTTGTAACAGCAATAACCCTTTACCATTAGCTATCTGAACAGCTTGGTTTGCAACTATCATCCCCTGCTGCAAATATTGAGATAAATTGGGCATATTTTCATGATATGCATGTTGTTTTATTTTTAAAAATTGCAAAATCATGTTGTGTCATTCCCTCTAGCACAGATAAAGAGAAAAAACTGGGTTCATTGATGGAATTTTTGTCTCGTAGGGTGTTAGTGTCGAGGCAGTGGATCCTGTGTTTCAAGCCAAAATGTTGGACATGTTGAAACAGACCGGAAGGTAAGACTTTGCTTCTCTACCATGTATGTTTACAGGGCCGTCTTTAACGCAGGGCAAAGAGGGCACTTGGCCCGGGCCCAATCAAGGTTGTGGGGCCCAAATCATCTGCCCCTTGAGCCCGCTGCCCGCAGAAAATTTGCTGATCGGATCGCATAGTATAATACGTTATGGCAGCGGCTGCATACGGCAATGCCATAATGTATTGTCCTATGCGATCTGCACGATCGCATCCTAAAGGTAGCTCCTCCCCCGGCCCCTGCCCGCATAGCGTGACATGTCACACAGGCTTCACTGGAGGACGTGAGGCTGTGCGTACGGGTGCCTCACTCAGGACATCCGGAAAGAGGCCGACTGGCACCCTCAATGCCTCTCATACTGATGCCTCTCAGACTGAGAGGCTTTGAGGGTAGCCAAAAGTCCTGGAGCTGCTTATTATGTCCGTCCTCCTCTCCCTGTGGAGCCCCCAGCATGTTGCACAGTCGCCCCGGGCAGCACATTTGAATAACGCCTTCAATAACGCTGTATCATGTCAAATTACCAACAATCATGTCTCTGTTAAGTCTGATTATCTAATCATGTTAATTATGTCTAATCATTGTAATTCTATCAATCATGTTATTCACATATATATGAAGGACAGAACAGAAATGGAGTGAGCTTTTCAGGGAGATATACAATCATGTTGTTATTTTTTACAAAATCAATTCAATCATTTTATTAATTTAATACAAATAAATAATATATTTTTAGAAATGTATTGGTCTGGAAGTTGTCATTTAGATGCCTACAAAACCCCAGCTTTCCTTCTTTTTTTCTAAATAATTTCCCTTTAGGGGTGTGGCATCCACTGCACAGATCCAGGTCACCTAACTTTGAATTCATTATATTACTTGTGTTTTTGGGGTCCTGATTTCAGTTCTCACCTTGGGCACCATATGCATGGAGTTTTAACAATATGCTCTCTGTTTGTTTTCACTATGTTCTCAAATGTTTTTAAAGATGATCTCTGACCGGGGCAATCCCCCAGTAAATTTTACCCACTTCCTCTACCCATTCCACTAATAAAAAAAAAATGGCCTTATTGCTTACCTAAATATGTGGTCACGTAACATGCGTGGCCCAGAGTTATCTTTCTTTTGAATGTAGAGTTAGCGGGTCCTTTTTCAAGTATCACCATCACTTTCTAGTTATGTAGATGGTTCCCATTGGCTGAAAAATTCCATCAGTGGGATCATCTCTGATGATGATGATCTACAGTGTGATATACTGTATAGGCCAGTAATGGCGAACCTTTTTGAACCCGAGTGCCCAAACTGCGACACAAAATAAATGTATTTATCTCAAAGTGTCAGCACTGAAAATAAGTTTAGTATTGCAGTTTGGGCGCTCAGGTTTAAGAAACGTTCAACATCACTGCCTTAGGCAAAATAGAGAAACCCGCATATTCAAACATTAAGGCCCCATTCACACTGAGCAACACTCACCTGGGCAGATCCTGCAAAGCCCCCATGAGACCCTGAAGTCTGCCAGATCTCAGAGGGGCTGTGCAGGATCTGTGGTGGGCTTTGCAGGCGGCAGGGCACTCTACAGATCCTGCAGAGCTCCCCACATAACCTGCATAGACCCCCTGAGACCCTGCAGTCTGCCGGATCTCAGGGGTGCTGTGCAGGATCTGTGGTGGGCTTTGCAGGATCTGTGGGGGTGTTTGCAGGCTGCAAAGCCCCCCACAGATCCTGCACAGCCCCCTGAGATCTGGCAAAGCCCCCCACAGATCCTGCAGAGACCCCGCAGTCTGCCGGATCTCAGGGGGGCTTTGCAGGATCTGTGGGGGGTTTTGCAGGCTGCAAAGGCTGGACAATATTTTTTGGATCCATCCCAGCTGCAGCGTGGCTCTGCTCTGTCAGCATATAGCAGGCAATATTGCATGGGGGCGTGGTACTGCATTGAACTCATGTACTGCATGCACTATTTTTGCAGATCGCACTGGACCGGAACGCAGGCACTAATGTGCCACACGTTCGGGTGCCGGCGATTGCACGGTGGGTACTGGCTGTGGTGCCGTTGAGTTCAGTGCACAGCCACGCCTCCTCCTGCCCCAAAACAAAGTTAGCCGGCCGGGTTGCGTTCCAGAGGCCGAACGCACTCTTGATGTTGTGACAGGGCCCTCAATCATTGTGGCTCAGCATCACATGTGGGCGTTACCTAGGGCAATCTGTTAGCCATGGAACGCCCACTTCTCCAGACTGCCATCCACCCATCAAAGCATTTTGACTTTGCATAACTCCTATCAAGAGCTGGGCCACTGCTTACATCAGGGCTGAGGGCTCTTGAGAGGAAAACTGAGACAGGGTGCTGTGATGTTTTTAGGGAACTATGTACAGCACCCTGTGTCATCTAAAACCAAAAGCTTAAATACAAGTGCCACACTACACTACTATACAAATAATATATACAGCCCATCAATAATAATATCGTGAATATAAGAAAAAACTGTGATCACAGCAAACACACGATGTGATAAATATGATATTTCCTTCACAAAAGCAGGTGAGCCCCTTGTGCAGGAAATCTCATATTTATCACATAGTGAGTTTGCTGTGATCACAGTTTTTTCTTATATTCACATTATTATTGTTGATTGGAGTAGCATTTTTTTTTCTTTTTAGTAGTGTAGTATTTAAGTTTTTGGTTTGAGATAATACAAGATTTTAGTGCTCACAGCAGGGTATAATTATTGGCATAAGATAGAAATCTATTGTATGTGCAGCACCCTGCCACCCTCTCTCCAGGTTGATCTGTCTGCATTTCCAAGAGAAGTACAGAGACCCAGTGATGACCTTACTGGACTAAAATAAGTTATGAATGAAAACGGAGAAGTTTTTTTTTAAAAAGGCCACAAACATGTTGATGAGGGGGAGAGAGAGGAACCAGGGAAGGCAATAATATTAGCAAATAAAACTTAATTGTTAAACAATAAAATAACTAACAAGCCCAAATTTCACAGCATTTGGAGGTGGCATGTTCTCTTTATGGAGACATCAGGGGTCTGATATCTTTCCTGTCCTCCTATACAGATCATCAAGCACAGGCATTAGTTACTTTCCTTAGGTTGTTCCTGCTCTCTATCCTGACACTGTGCTGTTGTCCTAGGCCCCTGAGGAGCGGGGGACCCCGAAAGCCATGGGGGGGCGGGCCTTAGGCGTACAACAGCTGACTAGTGTAAGTAATCTGGGTGGCAGCCAGATCACTTGTGGTTGTAGCAGCCGTCTCTGCCTGACGACATAGGTTGCTAGGAAGCATGCGTTCCTAGCAACCAATGACTAAAGGGAAGGGAGGGCCCAAGCACCAGCGCAGGTCAGCAATCATATTCTGGACAGAATCACCACTTGGTCCGCCATTTAGTGATGGCTGATCTAAAGGATATTGTGCAGTTAGATTGTAACATACGTGATGAACTTTAGTTTCTTTGTGTCGGCAAAGGTTGTCAGGGCTTGCAGCTTGATCAGTCTTGTACATTTCACCAGACAGTTATGTAAGCTGGACACATAATCTCTCTTCAGTTGGAACTGGGTACCATAGCAATCGTTTGCCATGTGATCACTGTGATAACAATCTCAATGATCACAAGGCACAGAGGTGGTTCAATCTTGGTGCCTGAAGCCTCTGCTCTCCACTGGTTAATGACAGAAGCTTAGAATTGTGTGCAGGAGACAGTGTGCTGCATGGTAAGATTTTCTATTTTGCAGTTGCCCTCACACCCTGAGACGAATTTATCAAAACTGGAGCAAGCAAAATCTGGATCAGTTGCCCATGGCAACCAATCAGCTTCTCCCTTCAGTTTGCCCAGGTAAGATTTGAAAATGAGAGAGAACCTAATTGGCTGTAGTGCAAATCTGCTCCAAATATTGTCTGCTCCAGTTTTGATAAATTTATCCTCCCTGTGTTTTAATGATTTACACACCCAGTGCATTGTGTGAGTTATTATTTGTGAATTCCACGGAGTGTTTTTATCTGCAGTGCAATGCAGTGGGTTTTTTTTCTAAAAAGTGCCCCAGCACACCTTACCAGCGCAACTCAGTTCATGTGCTTTTAACTAGGGATGCACTGATACAGTTTTTTCAGTATCGAGTACCGATATTATTTACTTTTATTTTTTGGTACTCGCCGATACAGAGTAACATTGCCGTGTGCCCCGATTATCAGGAAGTTGGGCGGCGAAAGACTGGCTTCACTTGCCGAGGCTTCTTGGCTTCCTGACCAATCAGGAAGCCAGACGGCGTGTCATGAGGTGCCGTCCGGCTCGTTGGTCAGAAAGCCAGGCTGCCTAGCAACAAGTGTAGCCGGCTTTCTAGCCAATCAAGAATCCAGGAGGTAGGTAATAACCCACCTCCTGGCTTCCTTATTGCTCCATGCTCCCTCGGTACTGCCGTTAAGAGGGAGATCTCCCTCTGACCGGAAGTTCCGATATCAGAGGTAAGTCTCGGAGCATTTGGGCTAATAAGAGTACTTGCCCAAATACTCGGTATCGGTACCGATACTGGTATCGGCGCATCCCTACTTTTAACACTGCACAATGTACAGATATAAATAATCTGTGCGTTGAAAAGGTGCAGGGCCACTTTTTTTGTGTCCAAAGGCCTGCCTTAATCTGCAAACCTCAGTATACAAAGAAATCACATAGAATAGGGCCTTAATGGCGCTCATTTCTCTATGCTGGGAACCTCCTTTAAAATGCCAACTCCAGTTCCAGATGATTCCCCCCATGGTTTGAATCACTCTGGATTCTTGATGACCTTAGTTAATTTTGCCTACAGCACTTTGTGTGTTTACCTCTTTTTCCCAAGGCCACCTTCATTATGGCTTTGAAAAAAAGGAGTCAAAGGCATGCACGCAAACCTCTTTAGCAGAATTCATCAGTGGGATTAAGGTGCCAACATTGTCCAAAGCATTTAGGTGGGACCAAGCTTTTTTCATGGGACTATCTCTTCACTGGAGATCCCAGAATATTTTATTCTTCTTGCCAACAACCACAAAAAAATGAATTACATGTTGGCCTTGGATATAAGTGTCTCACCACTCAAATGGTTTTTTTTTTTTTTTTAGTAGATGCTGTAACCACCCAAAAGTTTGTTATATCTTTGAGGGACTCTATTAGAGAGATAGAGAGATCTCTGCGCTTGAGTTCCTGGGTTGAAGTGCCTACTGTCACCATTCTGAGAGGGACTGCACTCCCTCTTTGCTCCTTTTTATTTCATGTTATGCAAAATGCACCAGGGACTGGAATACACAAAGGTGGACAGGAACACAGTCCGTTATAATGGCATGGAGATTTCAGAGATAAAATATTTAACACTCAGAAGCCAAGAGCTTACTTAACCCACCAGGCTTTGTCTATTAGAAAAATATCACTTTTGGGTGAGTGACCCTTAAACATTAGTAAGCAGGAAATTGTACCGGTTCTTGCTTTTTATTCCTTTTTTTTTAATCAAGTATGTATACTTCAGAGCTGGTAGTAATTGATGGCTGCTTACCTTCTGTAAACAATTGTGAATGTTGTATTAGCTAAATACATACACAATGCTGGATTATAGCATTACTGCTCTCATAATCCTTTTGTGAAATGGGAAAACCAAACACTGCATCAATATAATAGTTCAGATATACAAATAGACGTATGGGATCCATAATATATGATACACTCCTCACTATATAGTACCACCACATCATGATCCCCACCTTCCATATTCCTTCTGCATTCTTGGAGAGAGCAGGGGTGATAACAGATCCACAAGGAAATCTCTGGGCACCATACATAAGAGTGGAACGTTTTAAACCAACAGTTGTAATTCTACAGCCTGTTAAGGTGTATATAGTCAAAATACATTTTTTGCTGTCTGTGTACCATAGGGGAGATTTCCATATACTTCCTTTCCTGGAGACACAGGAGAAGGTCAGAGGAAATCTCCACAAGTGCAGGGAATAGAGCGTTTAGTGTCTGGAACTCGCTGCCACAGTAAGTGATTTCGGCTAAGAGTGTGGAATCGTTAGAGAAGCTTTTGGACGATTTCCTGAGGGACCATAATATACAGGGGTACAGGTACTCTTAAGATGAGATGACACAGGGATCTATACATACGCACACATCAGCAGGACCATACACATGCATGCAATAGGTTGGATTTGATGGACTTATGTCTTTTATTCAACCTCAAATACTATGTAACACACACAGGGACCATGGGGAACAAAAGTAGCCCTCCTCCAGAAGGAAGGACAGTGTCAGCACCAATTCAGAGATGATTTGAGGATCTACAGCCGAGTGATACACAAATAAGATACATTTTTGTTATAAGTTAAGGTACTTAAATGCATTTTTAAGATTTAACTCTTGAGTTTAGTGTCACTCTAATTTAAACAAAACTTGAGGAAGGAAAATTTCACCTATGTTTTTACTTTGTTTATTTTTTAAAAACAAATGATTTTTTTTTTGTTCCCCCTCCTCCTATTCACCCTCCTTTCTTTTTTTGTTTTGCATGTAATTTTTATGAGAGGGGAAGCTGAAGATCTGCCGTCAGGACTGGTCTTTAATTGCTTTATTAGTAAACAGTTCTGTCTACTGAAATGTGCTCACACTAATTCCACGTATCATTTTTTATGCAGTTTTTTTTATCCTTTACCTCTCAACAGTTGTCATGTGGCATGTTCAAAATTCTTTTACTGCGAAGAAGGGAAGAAAAAAACTTCAAAATTAATGTTAGCAAAAGGCTCAGCAGCTGAGCGGAACAGTGCAAATTGCTTTTTGACTGGGTTCCTAGTTGTACTGCTGGTTTAATTGATATTTAAAGAGAAGATATTTACTCAAGTGCTGAAAGGGTAAAAACTGGCTCAGGGAAGGTGTGGTAACAGGGTGAAATCCTGAAAGCACGATCTACCATCGCTAATGTGTATCCCTTAATGATAGCACTCCTTTGTCACACTTATTCATGTTCATGCTTTCACAATGATACTATGGTGAATGTTCCTAATGGTGCCTGATTCACACCAATGAGTTTCCTGTTCCTTGTCCTAATTTATACCCCGTTAACTTAATGCCTCTTTTCATAGCTGGCTTATGTTTGGGAGTAAGAACGGTCTTTTTTTTTTTCGTTCCAGGCCCGAGATGGTGGTGGGTTGGTACCACAGTCACCCCGGCTTCGGTTGCTGGCTTTCTGGCGTCGATATCAACACCCAACAGAGCTTTGAAGCCTTATCGGAAAGAGCCGTAGCAGTGGTAGTGGATCCTATTCAGAGTGTAAAGGGAAAGGTACGGTACAAGCTGTTTTGTTGGTTAACACTATTTAATGCGTACTGTTCAGCCCCGAGCATTTACGCTCTTGCAAATCATTCCATGCTTCGCTGTACTTAACCACTCGCTGTTGCAAACTTCTTTCTTTTCAGCGTTTGAGCTGAAGCGTTCAATTAATACAATGCTTTGCTCCCAAGGGACTCGTTTGCCTCCACGATTAAGCTGGCTTTGGCGGCTCAGCTTAAACACGCCGGGCCCTTCACCTCATTGTTGCTTAATCGGTTGGATCCATGTTTTTTAAAGTGGGCTACTCGTATCGTTAGAGCCTGTTAGGATTACAGGGTCCTTATCCAATCACATCTGCTAAACCCCTAAACCACATGCTTGGAGTAGGGTTTTTTTTTTTAAATTATTATTTTGGTCGACAATTAACATTTCCTTAAAGACAACCGTCCCAACAAGCACCTTGGTGTTTTGTGTTTTTTTTGTCCCAAGGAAGCAGATGAATGATTTAAGTATGCCTAATGCATCTGAAAAGAAATTAACTTGCAAAGCATATTGGGTTGCAGTTATCCTTTGTTGAATTCTCTTTTGTTCTTGTTTGGTTCTTTCTTTTTTTTTTTTTTTATTTCGCTTCAGCCCCCATATGCCATTTTCCTATTTCCTGCCTCGTGACAGCAGGGTGCAGGTCTATTATCACCTTCACAGAGCTGTCTGCAAATGTGAGAGGCAATTCGATTTTGCTCAGCCACAGGGAGAGTGGATTAGAAAAACTCACAATCTCCCGAAATTGTCTTGAATGCTTTACTGCTTTAAAATACTGCTGAGGTGTCTTGTTGGAACATGTCACTTCCATTGTAATGTAAAATAATAGATATGATAAAAATGATCGCAATGCATTATTACCCAAGTTTTCCCTTCCCTCTTAAAATAACCCGTCATTATGTATCCCGCTAAACAGTGTACGCCGCAGCCCACTCGCAACCGCTTTCTGGTTCGCAGAAGCGCAAAGATGGCGAACGGACGTTATTTTTTTATTTCTGGGCGTTTGCAACGATTTGTAGTGAAGCGGGGGGGGGGAATGGATGGAGTCGTCATTTGTTTGTTGTGATTATTATATTAGCAAACTAATTATTACATTCTGAACGGCAGGAAGGTATTAGATGATCTGATCTCCAATAAATGAATGAACTAATTGGAGTGAGGTGTCATTTTGTATGGTAATGAAGTGCAGACATTCGGGGTAGTTTGAGATTACTATCATGCGATTAGATTTTAGACATGTTTGATAATCACAAAAATCAGATTCACTGAATTTAAATCTATGAAGCAACTGACGTCATAAATCAAATATGGTGTGAGTAGGTTAAAGGTTGCGGTAGCTTGAACACCAACAATTGGTCTTTTTTTTTTTTTTGAGGAGACTAATAATTAAAGTTATTCTGTCCACCTGTAACGCAAGATCGCAGCATTCTGTGGGGGCTTAAAGCAGGGCAGAAGTGGCTTTAATATTTAAAAATTGTGCTGCTTTTGCAGAGTTAGTGGCAGTGGAAAATTGTCCGTTTCGAAAGATTTTTTTTAGCTGAATTTCTGACTGTGAGTTGCAGTCAAGCGCTTGTAATGCTGCCCTATGCCTGGACTCTGCAGATAATGTTTCTATAATGTTTGCACAAGGATGTTACCATCATATTGTAGAAATCTGGATATTAAAAGAATAGGTGGCAAATATAATTTTTTTTAGCTACCAAGTTACTGTGTGTCCAAATGTTCTTCTTCTTCTTTTTTTTTTCCTTTTACACTTTAACTAAATCATGGACAACACCTTTTACTATTCGGAGGGTGGAAGGGATGAGCGAAGGTTTTTAAACTGAGCACCTAAGTGAAACAAATACTTTTTTGTGTTTTTTTTTTTTGCAACAGACGGCAAATATAGCGATTTGTAAATGTGGATGTGCAAAGGATATTTTTTATTTTCTTGAATGGAATGATACTTTTAAAATCAAGTAGAAAGTCACTCGCACTCCAAAACGATGCCCAGTCAATCTCTTTACTGACTATGGTAGTGTAACATCTCAAAGTGACGTTTCAGTAACATTGCTGTGAGATGTTACACTACCATAGTCAGTAAAGAGATTGACTGGGCATCGTTTTGGAGTGCGAGTGACTTTCTACTTGATTTTACTTGATCTGCAGAGGCATCTGCTGTCACTACTGCACCCACCCTACTATTGGGACTTCCGGTCAGGAGTGCGATGGGTTACATTTGGTCTTATGGAATGATACTTTGTCGCTAGTTTTAGTGCAGCTTTATTGCACAATGCCTTTTGTGTAAATACTGAGGTTTCAATAGCAGCTAATGGGTTTAGTGGGGCTTTTAGGAAAATGCATCGACAAGTCCTTAAAAATAATAACTTATTAGATTGATTATTTGGAATATTAGAGTTCATGAAATATTCACGACCTGTGCAGTTGCAGATTTATGTGCTTGAGGGATATCTGTTTGGTAGGTAATAGTGCTGTGTACAGTAAACCACTCTAATCTGATTTTTCTTGCAGTGTTTAGTTCTGTTTTTCTTTATATGATCCTTTACATTTTAATACAAAGACTAAAATACAATTTAAATAATATACTTTTTTCTTTATTTTTTTTCCCCACAAACTGCTTTTGTAGGATAAAGGTGCAATGCAGGGGTAGGCAACCTCTGCATTCCAGCTGTGTCGGAACTACAAATCCTGTCATGCCTATGGCTGTTAGTCTTGCAATGCACCATGGGATTTGGAGTGCCAAGGTTGCTTACCCCTGGTAAAATGCAAAAGCTTGGTAGGCAAAATGTGATGTACCAGCTGTAACAGTGTATCTAGCATACAATATTGAATTAATATCATGCTCCTTTGAGTCTGCATTTGTTTTAAGTATGTAAGAGGTCATATATCTTTTTACATTTATAGCATATCTCTGTTATATACCTATGCATAGGTGTTTGTTTTAGAGTGGGCCTTATTGAGGGCCTGTTCACACGACGTCCGTTTTCTGTGCTGACCTGATCCGTGCGCTCCTACACTAAAAATGTATCCCAATGTATCACTATGTGTTTTATGGACTACAGTTCTCACGTGCGCAGTCCGTTCAAGTTACGACAGAAAAATACTGCATGTCACATTTTGTATGGTCAGGAAACGGTCTGGAAAGGAAAAACGCATCAAACGCACTGCAGCTAACATACTGACAGCCCCACTCCAGCAAAAAAAAATATATATATATTTATTTTTTACTGGAACGCATCAAAAACGCATAGCACCGTGTCTGCTGATCCGGACCTGATCAGTACCTGAAACATAAAAATGTCCCTGCTTGCAGCATCTTTGGCATAGTTTCCATTAAGATAATTACCAATGGAAAAGAATGGTACCACATGGAAAATGCTTAAATTTATGGGCCCCTTTTAAGTACATAACACAACTGATTCAGGTCTCGGTCCTTGTTTAAACCATCGGAGCTTACACTCTAATGTCCCTGCCAATGTTCATAATGTTTTCTCACTAGGACCAAACTTTATCACAAAGAAAACAGCAGCTGTTTTACCGAAAACGATTGTTCACGTAATAAATATGAGGTTTCTAAGGCTTCCCTTCTCCGTGAATTATTTTTACACTTTGGCGAGCCAACCCAGGAGGGGGTTAAACCTTAGCTGCCACTTACAGGTATTTCCAAGTTGTTTAGTAAATAGAATTGGAGTGATGAATTCTCAAAGGAAAGGGGAAGAAAATGCACATACTCTGAGGAATCTCTTTCTATGGCTGAAATTGACATTGTATAAATAATTTGAATGTGCCTTAACTCTGAGCACACAATCACAGCAATGCAGTGATATTCATTTGGCATCAGTCAGTTTCGTTTCTTTGTGCTTTCCAGTGAAAATGGCATAAAAAGTCTGATTTGCCTGAATTTTTCATGTCGAGGGGCTTACAAGGGAAGAGGGATGATGTTTTTCCATCGTGGCTGCCTTGACGGTGCACGGCAGCAGAACTAACACACACAGGGTGCTCTCACAGGGTCACATGTTCACTTACATTTTTAAATATCCAGCAAGCTTTGCAAAAGGTTGATAGCCGATCTGTTGCAGGTGATAAAGATGTTTAGATGGGATATTTAGCGTTTTTCCCTCCTTATTCCACACCTGGCACATCAACAATGCTTGTGTGATCACGGAATACATTACAATGGCATGGTTGACTTCAAATCAGAACTGTGCATTCAGGTTACTTTGCTTGGTAAATGAAATGTAACATGTAAAAGCAACTGTCAGTCATTTTCAGTCGCTGTTATATAACAAGAAGAGCAGGAGAAGCTGACTTTAAATGAACACTAGAACTGTTTCCGATCAATTTTGTTTTTAATACTGTTTTAAAACATTTTTAATATTTTTTTTTATTTTTGATAACCATGTACATTTTTTGTTTTGCAAATAAACATTTTATACATGACAAAAGATTCCTAGAGCCATGTGGATTACCTACAGAGACAGCATAGCAAAATAAGCTGCCATTCAAACAAGGCTGTCTCTCACTGAGCCCTGCACTCCTCTGAGCCCTTCTGATGAGGGACGCCATTACTCTGACTCATCCAGCTCTATGTGTAGATTTTACCTTTGATAGATTGATCTCTTTAAAGAAGAGCTCTAGGCAATTTTTTAATTAACCGTTGCAGTGGGGATACCCCCGTACTGCAAGGGTTAACTGCTCGTTTTGGTCTAGGTGCAAAAATAGTTATACTCAACCAAACCGCCGAGATGGCCAGCTGTCAAAGCGCTCCCTCCAGCCTTAGTTCTCCTATGCTGCAGCGATGGTATATTCCTCGACATGCTCACGTTCTATATGTGTATAGAACATGATAACATCAGGATCCATAGACCTCTGCAGCAGAGGGAAGAGCTGGTCTAAGAACAACCTGTTGTTCGGAGGTTCGGTCGAGTACAACTTTGTTATTTTTGTATCTAGACGAAAATGAGAAGTTAATC